CCCTTCTGTTTAGAATATAAAAATTTATCACCCAGTGATACCACTACAAATCCAACTTCATTCTAGATAATGGGGATGGATAATACCGGGCACCATTATCGTTTACTCCTCTGTTCTCTTTTTAAATAGCACGCCATATTTGAAAGTTTGAACATCTAATTCAGTTGGGAATAATAATATAAAAGCATTCGAAACAAATTTGAAAATATATTCGCTAATCAAGCAAATACTAATAATCCATGAATTATATGACCATTCAAATTTAGAAATCACTTACCACTTGTGGGTGGTCAACATATGTTCGCTGGCTAACTATTACTTGAGGGGCATCACTTGCATATGCCACGCTTTGTCCAGATACATTGCTCATAAGCTGACTTTGAACACAACCACCAGAAGCTGTAAATAATCAAAAAGGCCATTTTGATGAAAGAGCAGTTTTCTATGGCGAAAAAATGAAAAAGAGCGAATCCGATTTATGAATATTGCGCTTCAACTTAATAATTACACAGTATTTGCATATGCCTACGCATCTCTACGACCCAAACAGAACATTTGCATATATCAAGTTGCGAATGCATTTGGTAATATAAATCCATGAAAAAATTGAAAAAAGAACAAAAAAAGAATTGTTCACTAACTATATGTTCTCACAGTCGAAACAGCCGGGGCACTCATTGCTGTTGTTGAAGCAGCAGAAAGCTGTTGCTGTGCATGTTCCATTACAGCCCCATAACTTACTTTCTGATAATGTATAATACCAGGGATTGCAGTGACCGCCGATTCCTTACGAATTAATTTCTGTTCATGACTACGTTGCTGTTCCATGACCTAAATTATGATTTAAAATGCTTCACTTTTACATTAATTTGCCAGCTGCAATTTTCAAGGTTTTTTTCCGCTATAATGTAAGCGAAATCTTGAAATCTCGAACAACATAGCATGTCAAATCTAGCTATTCCAAAATTAAAACTGGTATGACTTCATTTCCAAAGAGGTGCTGCTGTGGCTCAGCATGCCTTTATACAGAAGGTTTTTGTAGACGACTTCAACAAACCAACCATTGCTTCCCTCTTTTGCTCCTCTTCTTCCTTCAGGCGCGAACGCTCTCGATCCTGCTCACGTAATTTCTCACGTCGCTCATTGCGATAATCAACTACTGCGGAACAGGTTGTTGTAGCATCGTAACGTATCCCCAGTTCAGCAAATTTCAATTCTTGAGATTGTAGTGGACACCATTTTTCAACATTATCGCCGGCTGCAGTACTTATTATAAAAGTCTTAGAAGAAATCCTGTTCAGATTAAAGTATAACATATGCAGGAATGAAAGGACAACCTGCTGGATATATACTTTCTTGCGCTGGCTTAATATTTTGCTAAACTTGAAATTAGATGCCACTTAGAATTTTCGGGGCAAGAATTATTTCAAAAATATTACTCGTTTTTGGACGGAATAAAACAGTTTGCTTCAGTGATGCTGCTTTCATTGCTTTAACTTTTTTATCATATTGACTTGATAGAAGTTTAAGGATGTCCGCAAAATACTGCTGATCAGTTTTTGTACGTCCGCGCTTCATATGAACTGCAAATTTGCATATATACAACAGTTGCTAATAAAACTTCGTATTTAATTCAAATCACATTCAAATTAATTTCATAGCTAGCTATTAGATAACCGGTGCTCGTTCTGGTTACTTAATTTCATTGACCAATTTGATCTTTTAGGATATTCATAACAACTCTGCTTTAAATATTTCAGTCAAAAATTTTTTGAAATTTGAATTCAATAAATAAATTTACATTTTTAATGACCGAAGTTTCAAAAACTTCATTACGTTCAAAATACAAAAATGACAAACATAACTTTGTTAAGACGATTTAACAATAACACGAAAATATGCTACTTGTTCAACTTACTCATTTCTCCGGTTGATAGCGGAACTCTCCTCGTTTTCTTTGTTATCGGATCCAGCGTGACCATACGCCCTTCTTCACGTGGCTGCACTACCATTTGATAATGCAGTGAACACTGTCGCGGTGAACTTAATGGATACACCTTTTTAGGGATGAAGAACAAATACCTTTTTTAAAGAGATAAAGGAAAAAAGACCATCACTTGTAGGCAATATCATGTCAAAATGTTGTTTATACCAACACGTGAATTACTGTGAGTTAGATTAACAAGACAAATAATCTATATGCTATGAAAAATCCTTGAATTCAACAGAAACCGAAACTTACCGATAGATTTCCGATAATGGAGCCAACAAAATCGACACCATGTCCCAATTTGCATACTGTCCAATCTTCGATGAATGCAAATGATTTGGTAATTTTTGCAATTCAGTTAGAATCTAAAATCATTATAAATATATATAAAATTTTGCATTCTAATAATTCTCCTTCCAAGCAAGAAACTGAAGTGAGATTTTAAAAAAGCAAAAAAAAAAAAGAATAGTAACCATAAGCGCCTCATAGTCTTCCGTAATACTCCATTCCGATCCATCGTAATCGATTGCTTCGCGATATCGTGGAGGTGGTGTGAATGGACGCCGCAATTCGGTTTTTCCACAGCGACTATCAAGCAGGCTAGGACGACCGCTAAATGAAGTCATGATTCGAATGATTTAAATGTATGAAACCAGTGAAATATATGCGTACTTACGTAATCATAAAAAGTGACGTAAATTAAATAATGATCCAGGTTTTTATCAATCTATCTAAAACTCATTGTTTTTTTTTTAATTGTAGAAATGAATCTATAATTTGCTTCCCTCCCTATTGAAGTGAAGGTATGCGCCAAAACATGTTTCTATTTTTCAAATATTGATAATTTTGGAATAGATCTAGAAGTTTAAAGTTACAGAGATATTATCCATTTTAATTCAGTGCACTGAAATCTAAAGTCAAAATTTCTACCTTCCAGCTTGAGATCTTTGTATCCCCTGGACGGATAATGCTTTTTGTGCTGACTTTCGTACGCTATCAATTGCGTCTGAATAAAACAAACATTTATAGTTACGTCTACAGAATGTAAGCTTTCAGAGGTTTAGCAAATTTTGTCTGAATTGAAAATCTTTATTAACAAGAAATAAATTGGCTGAAAAACTTAGTTTCAATTAAATTTGAAAAAGAAAAAGGTTAAATTTGAAACGGAAAAGTTAAATTTGTCCAACACATAACATACCATCAACAGAACCAGGCAAACGTGAAGGTGTAGCAGGTCTTAATAGATTTGATGTATCAAGGTAAGCAGCACCAGAAGATACACCTGTTTGAGGTATTAAATTGATACCACGTTCATGTGAAACTGATGAAACCGACGCAGTGGGAGATGATACGATATCACGGATAATACCACTAGCTACTGCAATTTATGAAAAATTTTTGATTTTTTATTCGCATAAACTCACTTCGCACTCACGTAATTGATAGCCGTCCTCAAACAAATTTTCTTAGTTTGAAGAGATAAGAAATAAGAAACTAACCAGTACACATGCCAGTGGGTGATGGAGGCAGTGCAACAATTGATGGCATTGAAATACTTGGTGGCATTGCACCTGGTGCCATTTGATATAATGTCGATGGAGGAACTATAATTTCTGGTACGAATTGTTCCGAAACAAGTGTTGAAGTTGGTGTAAGCGGTCGAGGGCGGTGAAGCTCGTGAATTGTAGTTGGTAAACGACACTCAGCCATCGGCAACTGCTCAAACCAGTATTCACCGGTTGAATCATAGTAAATATCATCACCACTATCAGAGGGTGGAGGTGAAGGTGGTAGCCAGGTCTGGAAGAAAGTTTTACACAAATTTCTTACATCTTTAAGCATGACTATGATGTCCATTTCAGAAAATCTTGACAAACAGATAGTAAGATTCACATAATATGAACGGAATAAAATAGATAAAATACATAAAGTATTAAAATAACATACCAGCATTTCCTCGCCAGGTATGTCCAAGCAGATTACCTGAAATGGGTTCAGTTCAGTAAAAGTTCAAGTTCAATTGGAATTCCAATTTCAATTTCAGTTTAAAATTATACACTAGTATTTATTGTTGTACATCGGCACCTGAGAAATTCCAACAAAAATTTGTTGCCGTGTTATTTTAAAAGTTTTCGCACGTAGGTAAGCGAAAAAACATAATGCTGCTGCGAATTATTCCAGCTATGGTTCATCTTAATATCTCTCATTAAAAATTTTACACAACCTATTCCATAAAGCACATAGCTACAACTAGCCCGATAAAAATTTAAATGATTTAATAACTGATAATTTAGCTTCTTTGCACATGACTGTCATTGTTTTCAGCTGTGCTATCACCAAAAACTTCACATGAGTGGGGAATCTAACCATTCACATTTTTTCCGGTTACTATGCAAATAACTCGCAAGGAATTTAAATACTGTCTTTTTAAACCATTTTGCATGCTCTGATGACCAGTGTTTATGTCTGGATAAGTATTAATCACTTATTTCTAACCCTAGATTTGTTTTTTGTTTCGGCGGCAATCTATCAACTCCAAGTGGTTTCAAAATGAACGAACATTCAATGGGAACGTTAACTCTAACCAAGCAGACTAATCTGGAAAATCCGATATTTTAAAACTACTCCTTTTCTCAATCTATCCATCCTTCCCTTTCCTAGAATTATTTTTCACACCGGTCCCTAGGATACTGCTGAGCTCTAACAGTATACATAGTATTTTTCATAAACTATTTTTTAAGGCATTCCCAATAGTTTAAAATTCCAGCGCAAAAAGGGAGAAATTTGTAAACTTTCTTCTGCTATATCAAAATTTATGTTACTCATAGATCGTATGGTTGTGATTGTTGTGAAACCTTGCTCTTTCTCTTATCTTTTCGACAACACACTTGAGAAGCCATTTGCATGATTTTTCATAATCTTCCCTCTTTTTTTCAAACTTCACATTATCATGGCAAACACCAAAAAGGGTACAAGCCTTTGGAAATCAAATTTCAGAAAATTTTAAGCTAAATAAAAAGGCCTCACAAGCGTGGAACATGTGAAACTTCTTTCCTTTTTCCTTAATCAGAGCAAGGCCTCACACGTGTGTAGTCGAAAATGTAAAAACAAAAACATTTTTTCAAACGCATTTTTCTTTCTCAAATATTCAACAAGAAAAAAAATGAAACGTGTCGAAAACGCACAAAAGCTTCAAAATATAGCAAGGTTTCTCAAAATACACAACTAACAACACATGAGCAAATAAATTTCTGTAGGTGCGTATATTCAGCATCATGAATCAATGAAACGACAGTGTAAAAGCAAGAAAAACTTTCATAAAATTTTCTAAGCTTTGAGATTTGTTTTGAATTACACGTATAATATATGCCGCACACTACAGTTACCAATCATTATTCATAAGAGACAGCTCAATTCCACAATTAAAATGATTCGCTTAAATTTTTTTCAAGTATGAAAGGTTCTAACCCTCAAAAACCTTGATGAACTTTCATATTGTCTCACCTAAACGACTAGCTTTTCACTGACAATTGATTAAACACCGGGCAAACCTCCGAAAAATACTATTGTCATCACTTAATATAGACTTCTCTTCTCCAACATGACCACTCAAGGACAAGCTATCCAGATTCTGCAACGTTTTCGGAACCCGTATTCGAAGTAGAAGAAGATTCAGCCTCGCCACTCCTTGACTCGCCACGTTTTCGCAAACACAACCTAGGACGTTCATAGTCTCCCAGTGTCGGTTTTATTCGTATTCCCGACAACAACTGATGATGGCTTAAAGCTTTATGTGCAGAAGAAATTGGTTTTACAAATTCGAAGCCTCCACTTTCACATCGTCTTCTTATCGTTGTTGCCTGCGCCGAAAATTTCGAAGGACCAGCAGTCGTATGCAGCTGCTGCGATGGCCTATATGAACTTGTGGCAAATGATGATGAGAATGTCTGATGACGCATCAATGACGTCCTGTTACCTTCCAAAACAGGATAAGAGGCTGACAATGGCGGCGAAAAACTAGTAAAAGTGTTAGTCCTCGACGAAGTCCTAGAACTGGAAGAAGTTGACGGTAATAATGAAAACGATGGAGTACTAAATGAAGAAATTGGAGAATTTGACGTATAAGTGGAACTGGATATGCAACGTGTTGCAGCTGATGCTTTGGTAAAAGCAACCGAAAGTGGAACAACTCTTGCACAAGAACTTTCTTTCATGCCGGGTCTTGTTTGTCGCGATTGCGTTGCTTTAGGCAACTTCTCGGTCGATAACTTTTGAGAGAAGAATTTGGATTGCGATTTTGAAGTTAATGACGATGGATTAATTTCAAATTCGGATTGAGTTTGTATATTAATCTTATCCGTCGTTTTTCGCAATTTAGTAACTACTGTTTTGTTAGCAATTGCATTTTCCGAAGGAGAGTGCATCGCCTTAGTCTGAATAAGACGTGGGGACGAACGTATTTTCAACGCAGAGAATGTTGCTGAGCGTAAGTTGTGCGGATGTGGTTTATGCAATTGAGGTCTAAGTGTAGCTAAACGTGATGCCGATGCTTTTGAGCGTACCTCGTCCACAGAACCAGGAACATCGAATCCAGTAAGATATGTCAATGAGATCTCATCATCGCTCTGCTGTTCGCCACTGTCTTCCTCCATCACATCCTCTTGAGCTTTAATCCATTCATCCTTTTTCGAATCAATCAATGCCTGCAATTGGAAACAATTTTTGAAGATACAAGTGATTTTATTACATCAATGGCAAAACAGGATTATATTTTCTATAAGCGAATACAGTTCGGAAAAAAGAAACACAAATTATAACGATCAAAATATAACACATTTCTGCGCATGTGAAGATTATCATTATTTTATTTTCTAAAAAGTTGACTGATGCTAATTCTGACATTTATTCATTTTCCTTCACTATAATTCACCACCAGCACCACTTGAAATATGTTTAGCACAAATGACCGTGCGGCAGTTAGCACTACTGATAGTTCAATAAGTTCTATTCGAAATACGCGAAAATAACAAAAATCACAATAACCTTAGCCTCTTTTACTTCTTCTTCAAATTCTGGTTTGTATTCCGCTTCCAAAAAATTGACTGCATATCGTTCAATTGGTTTTAACTGAAAAAACAAAAATTTCATAGAAATTCCATTCTATATATTGCTTATATTTCAAAAAGAAGTGCTTCGAGAGAATCTTTCAATTCCGATTTATTGATTTACACGAGCCTATTCATTACTGTGCAAATGCAAGAAAAAAAAACATTCAAATCCTGAAAGAATGCACTTCAGCATGTTGCTATTTGAACTGCGAAGCTACTAGAGCAGTCCTTAACCCTCCAAGCGACCAAAAAGTAATCGACACTGCTAACAACCACTAAATTCTATTCAGAATGAATAAGAATAGAGAAAAATTATAACATACCTGATTTATTAGTTCTAAATATTTGGATTCAATTTTCTCTTGACTGTTCTCAGTGGAAGATACTAGAGCATTTTCATCGAACTCCGCAATATCTGCTTCTACTTCAGCATTTGCACGTTGTGCTGCATGAACATCTTGTATATCTTCAACCGTTGCCATGGCCTAGACAAATCACTTCCTCAGAATGCGTACTACCATTGTTCATATGATCAAGCTAGTGCATCTGTTGTCGATGAGCGTTAATCAGTAAATCAGTCTACCTAGTGACTCCTCTTACACTTAAGATGTAAAAAATTCTGAGAATGACAGCAATCTGGAGAGCACATTCATTTTCGTAATTGAATAATTTCAAATGTAAGGACGTACTTTTTCAATTTCTTTATTATCTGCCACGGCAACTGGAGCAACGACGTCGGCTACGTTTGCAACACCTTCAAACAGGTCTCTCACATTATCACCTTTGAAAAATTCTGGTGTAAATCCCCCCTCGTCAATAGCCATTTCACCGAGACGTCGCTTCTGCATCGCTTTTCGCAGAATATTTTCTTCAATTGTTCGCTCACTGACTAAACGATAGATTGTGACGTTTCGCGTTTGTCCAATCTAAAACCAAAACTCACTAAATATAAAAAATTTCACAAATCTTTCAAATTTATTCAAAATTTCAATCTCATGATAACCGCTAATTTTGAACTATTCAAGTCTGTGATGTTAGTGGCATCAATGTGTTTGTTATTGGAGAACAAGTGAGATAAAGGAATAATTTACACGGTGACAGCGATCTTGCGCTTGTGCATCCATCGTTGGATTCCAGTCGGAATCATAAAAAATCACTGTATCTGCACCAGTTAAATTAACACCTATGCCACCTGATCGAGTTGATAAAATGAAACAGAATATCTTTGGATCTGCATTGAAGCGTTCCGTCATTGCCTAAAAATATATTATATGCCGCTTTAAATTCTAAAATCAAGTGTTTTAATTGTTGCCCTAACTTCTCTTTTTTCACTCGCACACTTTGTTGTTTGTATATTTTTCCTTTTCAAGCAAACAGCTTCCAAGTAAATTTTTTAGAGTTTTAAGCTAAGAAACTCAGAACTTTCCGGAATGTAAGTTTGTTTCTGTTAAACAGAAACTGGTGGTATAAGCAACGTAACAAAAAATTTACCTGTCTCTCTTCAATTCCAGTCGTTCCATCCAATCGGAAATACTGATAACCGTGGAACGATAAGAAAGCTTGCAAGATATCCAAAACCCGTGCCATTTGCGTAAAAATCAAACAACGATGTTTGTACAGGAAGAGATCACGCAGTAGGCTATTTAGGATTTGTAGTTTACCTGGAGCTTTCTTACTAGTAGCGTTAAATAGTTTAATAGTAACGTTAACCTTAATAATGCTGAAGTGAGAGATCAATTGATACAAAAAATTCTTTCACGAAAAAAAATATTTTATTTATTTAAATAACAAAAGGAAGGGGAACTGAAAGGATCAGGAAAATTGTAAATAGAAATAGAAAAGTAACTGTCATAAATAATTAGAAGAAACATTAAAAAATAATTGTTGAACTTAAGAAAAAGAAACACTTACCGCAATCATATTCAATTAACCGCAATTCCGGAAACTGGAGCTTTTGCATCATATCTATGTGACAAAATAGCCTGTCAGAATCCAATACTATACGATGACATTCTTCATTCAAATCATCCCATTCTTTTCGCACGTAGGCATGACATCCAGTAGTATTAATTTGCAAAACAGGTTCATCTGCCAGAGCCCCATGTACGAAAACAGTGAACCTGAAAATTACAAGATATAATAGAAGATTTTACTTACAGTTAATTTTCGATACATCGGTAAACTGAGAAAATTGGAAATACATGCCATCGGATTTTTTTCCCACAAATTAGCGAATAGCACTTATTAAAATTGGTTTTGCTCATCTATTATGATCATTACTTCGTCGAAACCGAAAGGAATAAACCTCTTTAACTTCTTAAAAACGAAAAAAAGTGTCAAGAATATTAGGTCCACCTTTGTGATGCATCACTAGTCCAATCAACCAGCGATTGTGCCAACCATCCCAACGAATCTATAATAAATCCATAGTTTGGTAATTGCAAAACATAGCACAATAAACATTCTCCTCAATAAAGAAATCCAAGGTTACACCTTTTAACCATGAAAAGCAACAATATTTGCACACCTGTTGCTGATAAATTACGATGATGTTTCTTTCGCCCCAGTTCTTTTTTGATAACAAATAATAGTTCATCTGATACCAACGGCGTGCGACAAACGTTGGGAAACAGTAAACGCCGAGAGCAAATTGCTGCACAGCGTTGCAACCTTTCCACTTTTATCTGTTCCATAGTTTTCGATGTATCGGGCTTAAAGAAAATGAACACAACTAAGAAGGACTTGTATCTTCGTTTTATATTTAAAAATCTCAGAAGAATAACTGACAGATTTATTTAAAATATGAGGAACAAATTTAAATAGTATAGACTGAAAATCACATAGTTCAAACAAATGCGTGAAGAAATGCAGCAGTAAAGGATTCCACGAAAAAGCAGAAAAGTTTACGCTGTTACTCATATATATGGGATATGGCACAGGCTTTTATTTTCTTTCCCACCAATACGAAAGCAGAACTACAGCTATTCAAAACAACAACTTCGTTAGTTCTACTAAAAGCGATCATATTAAACATGTTTCAATACGACTTGCGCTAACCAATAAAAAATTAACTTTTAGATGCTAATTTATATACTCACCAAAACAAGGAAATCATATAAGTCTGATTTTTCAGTGGCCTGTTCTGCAGCTATGGCTGGTTTCACTTCATCAACTTCCATCATCTCGACTTGAATTCGGTTGATACCAACGGCGGTGTCGACACTACCCACACTAGCAGATTCCGGCTCTAATAACTTCACTTGTTGTGCCCGACTTATCTGGAAGTCACAAAAAATTTTAATCTACTATCGCTGCTAACTGAATAAACAGTTTCACAATATACGAAAAATTAAAAAAACTGCGTAAGTAGAAAAAAGAGAAGGGTAACGATCTTAACGATTTTTCAGCAATTTATAGGAAACAAACAGTGGCTAAAACAGCAGAGGAACACATTTTTGCATTGTTTTGCATATTTTTTAAGTAGCATACCGGGAAGGTTGCAGCAATATGAGTTTCAGGAAGTGGCGTGCAGCCATTGTTAACCGTCCCGGTACCCTTTGCGGAAGCGTCAGTTGAAGGGCGTGTTTGCGACAAAATCGTTGTGGAACGAAATGCTGGCTGTAATCGACGATTTACAGAAAAAATCTCTGCAAGAAGGACCGGAAATCTTGTCCGAAATAGCCAAAACTCCAAGATTTATCAAATTGAAGAAAGTAATTAAAATTTGTGAAAAATTAACAGCAGATTTACTTTAAGCAATGGAACAGCTGTGGATGAGGATGTAGTTGTTGGTTCTACCGCGCTCTGTTTTGCTGACAAAAGTTTTGGTGATGTTTGCAACGTTGGTTGCATCGAAGTTCCAGCTGATGTTTTAGAAGCAGAAGTAACAGAAGTAGCATTCTGCGAAGTTGCTGCACTAGAAACTAAGAGACTGCTGCCAGCTACAGAACTTGGCTCACATTCACGAACTGTATGACCACCAGTGCTATCAACTACCTGTGAAATATTATGAATTACAAAATATAAAAAAAATATTAAAACTACAGACATACTCTTTATTTAATAAAAATTCCAGAAGATTGAATCCCAAAATTTAAATACAAACAAACCATACCAGTTGATAAACTCGTGCATTGCCAAGATCATCGACGGAAACATACAACTCGTTTCCTCGTGGAATGCCTGAAAAACTGAAGGATAAGAATGAAAATATAATGAAACTCTGATAACTTCATTACAACAATTGATATCTAACAGCATCGAAATTACCATACCTATTGGAATTTGCAGGCTATTACCTATTAACAGCAATCTGAACTGGTGCCTAATATCTGCATTATGGAAAAAAAAATTTCCTAGAAGAAATTAAACAGATTTTCCTCACCTGCTGCTGGCAATGGAACTGGCATGAAAACTTTTGATCCTTCCCTCGTCTGCGGTTGTGGATGCAGCTGCTGTAATTTACAAGCTTTATAAAACTGAAAATTTAGTTTTTTGAAAATATTTCAACGAAGCGAAACGAAATTAGCAGTAGGAATGAGTAACCATTGTGAACTACGAAATAACAAAGTTTTTTAAAACAAATATTTGGGAGAACAGGATTTACTGACCGGTGGTGGTCGTGATAAATGAAACCCTCCTAAATTTGGCATTGGCACATCGACCGCACTTGAAAGATGATCGTTCAACAATTGTTCATTAATAGCTAGACGACGTCCTTCGCTGTATGCAAATAGAGAACCATGTGAAGCTGAAATTTCGAATAGGTCCAAAATATTCGTTTCTTCGAGGTCCTTTCTGAAATTTCGAAACGAAGTGGTACAGTATGTTGCAATCACGAATAAATAATTTACATTTCAATACAGCCATGCATCCAAATGTACAATAAAAAGATCAAAACTTGAAAATTCACTAACCCTTGACAAATGTTTAACAGTATACCCGGCAAAGTAACGGTAAAACGTTGCATTACAAAAGGTGACAATATCGGTCGCGGTTCAAATAAATTCGGATGGTTGCAACATTTCCGGAGCTGCATAACAATATTCAACACTGACATGACACTACCTGACCGCAAATTTTCTCTCGTTCTGAAAGAAAAAATTCATAATCAATTGAGATATTAACACTTGAAACTTCAGGAGTTATTACTCATTGGTAAATAAAAGCTAGTGTTGACAGATTTCACTTGGATATTCTGAGTGTTTATTCGGTGATACTGTACTGAGTCTTGACAGGAATTCCTGACAAATCTAAGATACTATTCAAATTGTTTTGAAATTCGACAGACTTTGCTAATAATCCAATAAACTTTCCAACTCAACTGACAACACACAATATAATATTAAATAACATAAATGTCCTACACCAGGTGTAAAAAGTACAAAAATCTCAAGAATGGTAATATCTAAATATAGAACATGCTTCTAGTATTCATAAGTGTCATAACACAACTCCATAAATTATAGCACATTTTTTCCATCTTAAATGGTTCGCAAAGAGAGCTTACGATCTTCTGGACATGAAATCATCATAAAGACATCGCTGTCGCTTCGATAAAGGACATTTGATGATATGTTCCGTCTTCTCTGGCAGCTGTTTCTCCACATCACTTTTCAAGCGTCGCAAAATGAATGGCCTCAGTACCTGAAAGTTATCCTCACAAGCTTTAGATTGATTTCGAAAAACAGATAAATTTTTTAAACATCAAAACTGGCCTCATAATAAGCACTGTAATCTCGAAAGCCATGATTATATTTATGACTAGATAGAAATTTTGAGAATTACCCAAATAAAGCACTCCATTACTTATAACTCTAGTTATAAATGTGAACCTATGAACGAAAATTATCATATATAAGCTTAGTAGAAGAAACTCATCAAATCATTCAATACACAAATTTACTCATTAGACTTTTATAAATTTGGCTTTATTCAAACAACAAGCAGAATAAATTCTCAAGTTGTATGAAGCTTCTGGAAATATATCAATCAAGCATCGAGTCTTACCGTCACCGCACTACAGTGTGCAAATTAATAAAAAAAATTTTTTAGAAAACTAAAATTCTTTCGAAACGTACGTACTTTATGGAGTCTCTGTATTAGAGAAGCATTCCATTCTGTATTACCTTCCATCATATTATTTAGAGGATTACTAAACCAGTCTTTGAAATCGTTATGCGATGCAAAAATAGCTGGCATCAAAAAGTGCATAAGAGACCAAAGTTCCATCAAAGAATTTTGCAGCGGCGTACCCGTCAAAAGTAAACGACGGCGAGCACGGATGTTGAGTAACGTTTGCCAACGTTGGCTTTTGAAATTTTTGATATTTTGTGCCTGCAAGGAAGAATGTACTTGCAAACTAAAAATACACATAATGAAATATGGTTTCTTCAGTGATAGTAAATAATCATAAACAATATTTTGTGGAAACTTTCTACGATTATTCACAACAAAATGAATTTTACCTCATCCAGGATAAAATACTGCCAAGTCTTATGTTTAAATGACCGAATATCTTGCGTAACAATTTTATATGAAGTGATGCAAATATGGAAAGCATTGGTTTTAGACCAACCCTAAAAAAATCTCAATTATAATTATGAAACAATCATTCCACGTCTACTTCTAATACAAGTCATTTAGCTATAACAGCAAGTACAATCGCTTATGAGACTCTCAAAAATAGAATTTTTCAATTTGGATATAGGCATAGACTTTTGCGAGGATGTGAAGTGAAAAGAAGAATCAAAGCAGGAAAATGTACAAACTTTCCGTTTTTCAGCTCGTTCTTTTTGATTACCAAAGTAAGTGAGTAATTTGAAAGCTGGGCACCATTTTTTTAATTCCATTTCCCAATTCAAGATCACCGATGTTGGTACAACAATGAGATGTGGACCCCAAATATACTCTTTGCATGCCAGATGTGCAAGCAGCGCTATCGTTTGTATCGTTTTCCCTAAAACTTTCGCAAAATGAAAGAATTAAACGGTTTAAATAAAAAACACAGCCTTGAAAAAATTAGAAAACCACGTACCTAGACCCATTTCATCAGCTAAGATGCCGTTCAAGCCATTGTCGTATAAAGTCACTAACCAATCCAAGCCAACCATTTGATATTCCCTCAACGCACCCCTAACCAGATGCGGTACTTCCGTCTTCACTTGTGTTGTTTCTAAGGTGAACCCTTTTGGCTGAAATTTCAAAGCCTCCTCTGCAATATTTGCTAACTCCTTCTGTCGCTCTTCACTATTTTCTGATGTCAATCGATCATAATTTATCGCAGCGCCTATCGCGCCTTTTTCCACATTTTCTACATGAGTAAGATCAGAAGTTTCCTTTTCCGATACCGATGAAATACTTTGCGTAATGGATGCACTATGACGTGTCGAGTCTTCTTCTGGAATGAAATTCGATGAATTTTGAAAAACGAAAATCTTGAATCTATGAAAAACATACACAGGTAAAAAATTCAATCTCCAAAAGTAGACAAATATGTATTTGAAAACCACTGTGACAAATACCCTGTGTGATTTCCGATGCTGTGTATTCAGTAGATACTTCACTTCCTTCTGGACGTTTACAATCCGCAGATGTACCCTGTGTAGGCTCAAACAAGTCCTGTTGTTGTTCCGACTTTGAAAGACTTTCCAGATACCCCCGTGGAAGCTGAAATTAGAAGAATATCTTTATCTTACGGATAATAACGATGACAACTATAAACATCTGACTAATATATTTTACCAAGTCGTCAAAGCATCGTGAACATATAACCTATCACTGGCGTGTATAATTTCATAAAAAATACAAATGGTTCATCAAAAAAAATTTTTCGGTTATCATCAATTCATTCTCCTCGATACACATTAATTTTTTGCTAAACTTTTAGGATTTTACAAGTTAAAAATATACCGAGTCAAGAAAATCATCAAGTTCAAGACTCCCTTCGACCACCAATCCTTGCATTTCCTCCTCAACATTCCCATCCCCTGCTTCAGCATCAGAGATAGAAATATCATCCGAATCGGTTGAGAAACTTGCAGCATCTTCATCTTCAAAATATCCTTTCTTGTGAAACATAAATACCATTCACCCAAATTACGAAATTTACAATTATTCTCAAAAAAGATCGCAAATTTCAAATACTACAGAAATACAAAAAAAATGTCATTTTCGAATATTACAGTCAAGCAATAATGGATTAGACTGATAAGTGAGAATGTAAACCTCTAATAATATCACCACTCCGCAATGATGATGCTCTGCTCGATCTTTCGCCTATTAAACCTTCCTGCACCATTTCACTCAATTTATCGGCATGACCTACCATCATTTCCAATTGTTGGTCTAACGCTTTCCGCTTCATTGATTCAATTATCTCCTAGAAACAAATCACTTGGTTAAAGAAAGTTAATAACTAGACTTACAACTTTCACATTTCTTGGGTAGAACTTCCAATTAAAAAACCACAAATGTCTAAAATTATAGAGCGCAACCCAAAAAAAAAAACTAACTTTTTTTTACTAACCTAGTGCATTTTACACTGGCGATATTTAAAAGCAAAGCAAAGACAGAATTACAAAAAACTTCTAGATTTACAGAAAAACGATGAAAACCCTCAACCTGTGCACGTAAATCAACCACTCTATCAACATTCTGCCAGAAGTCTCGAACCATTTTTGCGATAAGCGCACAAACACGTTTTGCTTCCCTTACGGCTCGTTGTTGTGCTCGTTCCTTTTCTTGTTCTCGATCTCGCAACATCCGTGCAATTTGATATGAGAACTATATCAGCAAGAACTATTTAGTGACAATTTAAAAATGAATGTCTAAATTTGAAAGTTCACGTATTGTGAGCAATTCTATTACATTATAATCTCGAAAAATCCCAACTTGAGAATTTGATGACCTTTTTCGCTGCCTGACGTTTAAAAGTTCGTTCCTGACGAAAATCTATAGCCATCCAGCGCATTTCTTCCAACAAATAATCCCAATGTGTTTTATTTCGTGGAGGCATTTCAATCATTGGTAATCGAGATGCTGTCCAGAGACCTTGTCTTCGAAGTTCAGCAATTCGTGCTAACACTTGAGCTTCCTGAGAAGAAGCGGTACAAAAATAAAACATGTCGTACAATTTTTAATTCTAAAATATCTGAAGAGCTTAAATGGACTTAAGATGCTCAAAGCATCCAAGCACTTATCTAACTACTCTCTCTCAGTTATGTTAAGAGAAGATGTTCAAAATGTACTAAACACTTGAAAAAGAATTCTGCGAATTACTAAGTATTATTCGAGAAATTACAATGAAGAAATGTTTAGTCTTTTTATCTAAAATTGAATGTGATAGACAGTCCACTCAAGTTCTAGACAAAAAAATTTTACTTTCAATATGAAAAATTAAGTCCCGCAGAACAATAAGGAAACTAACCTGTTTAGCCACTCGTTCAACACTTGACTCTACTCCAGCCGCTGAGGAACTTCGAGGTGTAGAATGAGCCGTGGCTGACGGTATCGAAGACGTCGGATGTGCTGCAACCGTTGAAGTGGATGGTTGTTGCTCCAGATATGATGAGCAAGGCTGTAAAGCTCAGTTTCGGGTATATTCCAAAGAACAGCTAAGAAAATGAAATATTTTGGAAAATTTCTAGCAGAAAACTAAAATTCGCAAAAACATGGAAACAATTACTGATGCTGCGCTATTTTCCTCCACTTTTATTTCAATGGGCAAAAGAGACGTTTCTGATGCATCCAAAATTGGTCGAATGTATTGTTTTGAAGTGACAATATCCTCACGTTTTGCTTCTGAACCTAATAGCGAATCCAGAGACATTCCAAAGCTGAAAAATTGAGAAAGATTAAATATCTGGGAGGCGGATATGGAACTTCACTTTCAAAACAACTTAAAATAGCCTATACTGTTTAATGCAAATGAACTTATATTGAAACTACTATTAAAGTTAAGATGTATCTCAAACTAATAACAGAAACATGCCCCGCGCTATCTTCAAATTTCAATTCGCTACCAACAACCCCAGCATCAATTTGATCCTCACTTCCATTTCCAATACTTGTCCTGGAATATATTAAGTGAATATACTTTCTGACTTTAAATTTCGCAAAATATCCCCCACTTTTTCTAAATTTCAAGGCAGAAATATTCGAAATACTAACCTCTCTAATGCAACAGTTCTTCTAGTATTATGAATGAGTCGCATTTGGGCCATTAGCCGAACGCCCAGTTCTATTCTCGCGTCTGTTTTTCTTCTTGTACTGACCCCTTCTCTTCTGGAGCATCCTTCCATGGGATCGTCACTATTAAGACGACGCCGTCGAGTCTGGAAGCAAACAACGGCAAAATACAAATAAATTCAGTGTTTAGTGACTAAGAAGTAAAAAAAAAAAAAAGATTAAACTGAAACGCAACTGCTGTCACTTTAGGACATGTGATAGATTTTATGCTTCGATCTACCGTGTGCTGAATAACATTCGCCAATTATGGAGTAAAAAAAAACATTTGTTGTATAAGAAATTCATGAAGTATAACAAATTCAAATTTTTGAAATGGGAACAAATAAATTAAACTGAAACGCAACTGCTCGTGTGGTGACTGCAATATCCATAAAATAGACGGTATTTGACGAGAAATTCTAAAGAAAATGGAAAATCTCATAATTTGATGTGAAGAAAATTCAAACTTACGGGAGGTGACGTGTCACCACCTGATAAATCCACCGATATTGCGTCATCTGGATGCGTTGCGCTTGTCGTTGCTGTGTTAACATTACGCCGTGAACGACGGACGGGACGTGTAGCACTACTCATACTTGATTGGCAAACGTCAAATTAACAAACATGATGCATTTTCATGCTGATTTCCGCAACCTCCAAAATCCTGCAATAGTTTCCTTAACACAATCATCGTATGATGTTCTCTTCCTCCCTCCGAAATGTGAAATTTCACATACAACCCACCGAAAAGAGAATTACGATGAAGCATCAAGTAGACTGCAGCCTCAGATAACCCCGCTATGAACTTCCCGAGCCCTTTTTGACCTGCAAGAACAAGCGGTCAGGGTAATACCGTACCTTCTCCAACACGATGAGCAATCGGGCGTTGTAAGAATCATGCCATTCAATGCAACTGAAAATTCTCAGTTAGACTAATTTAACCCATTGGTGAGTTTTCCTTTCACTTCGAACTTTGGTTTTTTCATTTTGAATTGGTTTGAATTGTTGTGACGTATTTCCTATGCTTCAACTACAAGCATAAATAGAATTGTGTAACTTTGGTTTTTTCATTTTGAATTAGTTTAAATTGTGACTTGTTGTATGTACAGAACGGATACTAAGAAATGTAAGGCACAGTCAGTAATGTGCTGTTTTAATTGTTAATTTATAAGTAATTATGAATTGTGGTATTCACTCGTAATCGATAGATTTAATGGATAGATAGCTTAACTGACTGATGGAGGATGAATAAGTCAATCGTGTGAATAAGCAGTGTCTGAAGTGGCTGATATCGTGATCTCCGTGTAACTGATCATACTGTTTAACTATTGAATGTTTGAGTAATTATGCTATGAGTTTAATTATTAAATGATATAAGTGTACATAAAAGTTAATAGTATCAAGGAAGCAAGAGAACCCCGTCGCTAAGGAGAGAAAAAATAAATGCTATCAATAATGGTTATTAAAGTATTATTTTTTGTACTTGAAAAGATATTCGTTCTTTATATGACCATTGAGCATATTTTATACAATACTTTTATACTTTTAACTGTAGAGTAGGTGTTTGTAAAATGTGGACGATCTAAAAGGAAAAAGGCTATGCTTGAAGTGTTGGGATTAGACAGCATATTATGGGGGTATAATATGTTGTCTTACTCTTTCTTACTTATTGCATCCTAAAATTTATGCTACAAATTGCTTTCTATATTTAAAAAAATTTAGATTTCATTATTTCCGTTTATCTTTCGAATTTCATTTTTTCACCCAGGTTCATCAATCTCTTAGGGTTCACATGTTGAAATTCATGACTTAGGGATGAAGACTTGATTTTACTTTTTGCAGGAAGATGGCTTTAGCGTTGTTAAGTGTTAATATTTGTCAATTCGGTGGCTGTGGACTTAACTTTGGAAACCTCCATGATTTGGTGCAACACATCGAGGAGGCACATATCCGTAATTTAATTTGTTTTTTTTTGCTTTTTTTGGTGTAATTAGAGTTAAATCAGTTCTGCAAAAGTTAGAAAGACATGAATTTATCATTTTTCGCTTTCAAAATTTTCAATTATTCTGTCTGAGACAGTTTTCCAGTATGCTTTAGTGAAAAAAGAAGGGAACAATAAAGTTAGGCACCTCAAATATCTCGAATATTGCTTAAGATTTTGTAAAGGATGTGAAGGAACTTCGTATTTTTTGGTTGAAGGATAGGTAAAACTGACAGCTTTCAACTTCAGCTTTATCAGAGTTAAAAAGTCAACTGAGCTAAGTGATAGCATTATATGTGCATTGCGTGCAGTGTAGAAAGTATTTGTTAAAAAGAGTGAAAGTAACAGTGACGCATAATTATTTGTTTAATGAAGACAATAACGAATGCATATTGGATATATGACTTATTGGTTTGAATTTCATTCGCTACGCTTATTACAGCTATAATCGAAGACGAAATAAAGAAAAAAGAAGAAAGCGCTAAAAACTCTTCATTGGACGATGATCCTTCGAAAACTGCTGCACTAACTGCCATTTTTCCGTTAAGCACCATTTTCAAGTAAATTTTCTATTCAAGTCTTAAAGATATTTTTCCGTTGTAATTTTATTACTTAGAAGAATTAGCCATGATTCTGGACTTCTAGGACTAGGCAGAAAATTATTCCCCTTGAAGTAATGAATGAAAATTATTTCCCTTAAAATAAATCAAAAAATAAGTGATTTATGTTTGACAAAAGATTAAATAGAAAATAAAAATTTCCGCTGTTTTCCTAACAAATCCAGTTTTTTCTAATTTCATTAATATTTCTAGATTATTCCCAAGTCTTCCCCCTCAGAAAGCTGTTCCGGTCAATCCTGAACCTGTGAAGCTTGCGATTGGCCATTACAGGTTTGTAACTGTAAAGTTTTCATAATGTCTCTAGCACCAGAAGTGCAATACTTTTTTGGGCTTTCTTTGACTCTCTTTCCTGAAACATGCTTCACTTTGAACCTACCGGCTCCATGAATTATGCTGTCGACATATCAAATAGCCGTCTCTCTTTCACATGCCATTCATTCTTTAAATACAAATGGTGACTATTTTTAGACCGTGGTTTTCCAGGAAAAAAACATTGGCTGCTGCAATTGCTGGCACAAATGTTGTGGGACAAGCTGGAGATAAGTCCCGTTTTGGTAGTTTTCTAAATTCTAATTTATTACTTGTGTTATCAATTGGTGTGCCATTTATTATAGAAAAGATGCTGCAAATAGTGATTGAAAGTTATGGAAAGTTAAACGTTGAAGGCTTTCTACAAAGCCTGAAAGATTGTTGATTACAGTGTACTAGGAAATAGCTCGACCCAAAACTTTACCTATTTTTTTTTTCTTTTCAAAAGTGAAAATTCGAAAATTCAAAGTAATTTTGTTCTTGAAACTGTTCTACAACTTTTCAGACCCTCACGATGAGGAATCGAACGATTCCTACAAAAACGAGGACTGTGACGACTATGATCAAGGGTGAGATTTAATTAAGATTCATATCACTTTGTGTAATCTTCGAAGTGCTTTATGGAAAAGTTCAGAACCATGTAATATTTATTTTTGTTGAAGTGCTTTCTTTCTCATGCTACTTTCTTTCTCATAAAAGATTAATATCAGAACATCGTTCATTTATATGGTTAAAATGAAAGTGGCCAGTGAATTCTTATCCTTATTTGAATTTTTCTTCGAACTTCTTTCTTCGTGCCCCTTTTATTACGTTGCATAAAATTTCATCTTAACTCATATTCCAAATATAGGACTGATGAAAGGCGACACAAATGCCCAGTTGAAGGTTGCAACAAACGGTACAAAAATTTGCAAGGAGCACGTTATCATGCGCGTCAAGTACATGGTTATACTGAGGATAATGGCGCGAATAGCTCAGTATCATTCGACTTGACTGCAGTGGTACCTGGGCAAGTTGCGCCATTGATTCAATCCGGCGCTTCTAGTAAATATGCAAAGTTTGTTGTTTTTTGAGAAAGCGAATATCTTTTCTCATGTGTTGGGAAAGTTAATGAAAAGGAAGTTTACTTTTCTATGCTTCGAATTTTCCGTATACTCTCGTGCTTTTTAAATTTGGCTCTGATTTAGGCCTGGCTTAAACTATTTGGGATTATATTGAATTGTATCTCAAAATTCCAATTGGATTGATTTTAACAGAATTAATCTTAAACTATTATGATCTGCAGTTTACGTCCCTACAAATGCAGTCAGTGTTCAAAGCGTTACAAAACCATTGTTGGATTAAACAATCATGTGCAACAGTCACATCAACGTATTAATAATGGTAAGCTTACTTTTATGTTGAATCTGTGAGTCATAATTCCTCAAGCAATTAATAAAAATGATGAAGTTGCAGCTGGAAATGCCACTTTGTCAACAAATTTAGTGCCAGTTTCGCCGGCAGCCGTTTCTGTTTCAACAACACATAATAACATTCCATCAGCGGCAACTTCCAACCATGTATATTTGAACTTTTTTCTTGAACTATAGCATACGTACAGTTCAGAATGATGCAGGTGTGCCAGATCAGGTCCGCGCTATTTTTCTGATCATGATATTTCCGGCTACAGATTAATGGAATGCATAATGTAAAGGATAGCGCCATAGATGCAGGAGATAGAGGTGAAGAAACATAACACATCAAGCTCGGTCACAAACATTTTCTGATCCCATGTGGAAATCATGAAAAATCGGTTTAGTTACAGGTGACCGCAGAAAGTGATGGACATATGGCAATACCGTCGGGTTATTTGACATCGACAAATATTCAGAATGCAGCGCAAGTTCGAATCAACGCACCCTTACCGCCTCTTTCATCAGCTGCTGGACATCAATATCAACAACAGGTGGGATTATGTTATCGAGATAAAACTGCCTTAGTTTTTTGGATTATTTAAGTCTAATTTAGTTTTAAATTTCAAATGTTTCAGCCTAGTAGTGTAACAAAGCTTGTATCGACAGCTAATAGTATGATGACGAGGAATATGAACGCTCTCTCATCATATGGCCCACAAACAAATGAATCGCTAGCTTCAGTTATTTCTCGAACAGACACATCGCAGGTCACCGATTTTTGTGTTTTGCATGAATTGAAAGTTGGGGAAAAGTAATAGAAATAGATAGGAAAGGACATCTTGCTCTTGCCATACTTCTTTGTTACGTTTTATTTTGAACTCCTATCGCCTTACCTAGCATTGACAGAAATTCTATCCTCCCAGCGGTAAATGCAACTACTTAAATTTGAAAATTTGAAATTCACATTTATAGAAGTCAAATGGATACAACAAATAGGAAGCGCAGTTTCTAATCTGTAGAAACACTTTATTCACTGTTAATTCTTCATCAGCATAATATTATGCGACTGATTGCTTGAAAATGAAATATGTATAAAATTATTATGTGCACATAAACAGTAATAAAATTATTTGAAAGCTCGAAACCTTCGGAATAATGGATGTCGATCTTCATCTTTGACAGTTCTTATTTTCTGCGTGTAAGAAATGGAATTGCTTCCAGAAAATGATGAAAACGAACCTTCTTTTCGCATCGTCTACGAAATATATAAATTAATATTTGCAATTAAGCATGAAAAGTAAAAAGTGGAGGCCGAAACAAAAGACACTATGTAGCTTTTTATATTGTTGAGTTTATGGTTGAACCTTGATATTGCAAAATCTCAGAGATAATTTCATGAACCAACCACAACTCATAAGTGTGCTCGAAAGTAAACGTATATATCATTTACATAACAGATGTGTAGAACAAATTTTTCCAACGTCTACCGAAACGAACTAGAGATTCAGAAAGCAGACCAAAAATTGACTTACTTTTGTTTCTCTTGAACCATCTACGCTTTCTTCCTTAATATCCTCCTCTTCGGCATCTGCATCAGAAGCAGCAAGTACTTGTTGCAGCAACTGAAGTTGAGATTCCTTGGTGGCTAATTTAAGTGCTTCTTTTTCCATTCCTGGCAGTCGGTTCACAACCTGTTTAAATTTTGTAAAGAAAAGTAGTTCACAATTGTTAGAAAATGGATGAGGAAACTTCTGGCTTTTTCTGAGACTCAAAGTAATTTGGGTGGTTGGAGCTGATATTATCGCTACAGCAAGTGCAAACCTTATAAGCGTAGCCCTGATTTACTAAGAAACGTTGTCGTTTGCGCGAATAACTCATTTCAACAGTATCCTGAAAGAGGCTACCGTAGAATACGAATTCCAAGAACAGAGTTTCCAGTTTATAGGAGGCAATCAGAATTGAAATTCAAATAAATTAAAGGAGCGATTGAAGATATTACCTGTGAGACCAATGAATAGAAAAATGCGTTGAATCCACCTCCAGTGTTTTTTTTAGCTCGTAATATGCGTCCCAATCGTTGTGCTTCTTGCCTCCTAGAACCGCCTTGTGCTGAAATCTGGATCAGAACGTTTGCTTCAGGTAGGTCAAAAGATGTATCTGCGACCTGTAAAAATATACAACTGAATTGGAGATGTGAAGCTTGTTTGCTCGATAAGGTCAGCGGAATTATTATTCTTTTCAATTATGCCGAATATTATGAAATAGGATATTAATAAAGCAAAAATCATTTCATTCTGTTCTCTTCGTTAGATTTTCCGCTATTCTCCAACCGTGGCATTAGGGAATTAGCAATATTAATTTTACTCGTCTTTAAATTAATTGTAAACAAACTTTTGACACGAAAATTGTGTTCACTTTCGGATTATACTGGAAATTTTGTAAAATTTTCATTCGTTCATTCTGCCCCGTTTCACCATATAGAAATGGTTTATCCATCTCTACGGCATATTTCTTCAGTGCGAATACATTGTCAGAAAAAACGATGATCTTAAATTTGGAATAAATTACCATGAATAAGCAAGCACAACTACTCAAACTACTCAAAATAACTCGGGTTAATAAGAATAGAGCACATCTTGAAAAGGTTCTGGAAAAGAATTCCAGCTACAGCTTGACTCCAAAGCTGTTATGCTATTACACTACATCACAACTCCGTCACAGTCTGCAACGCATGATCCGACACCTGAACTGGGCATTCCCCTTTTGTTATTCATTTTTTCGCATTTGTTGCTGAGGTGTGGCTTTTTGCCGATACTTCACACAGAAATACACAATGATTTCCCTACTAACTCAAAGGATATAATGAAGATAAAAGAACAAAAATTATATCTTGAATTTTCTTTCTACCAAACTGCTTTATTAGTTATTACACCATTTTCTGAATATTAAGAATCCAAAAGAAATCAGTTTGGTCGTGTTCCAAAAGAAAGAATAAAAGCTATAGTTCTTGCCTTGTCATTCCGCCGCTCGTGATATTTGATAAGGAACTGACATATGCGAAATTTATTGGGGTTCATTACAGCTAGCAAAAGACGGCGGCCAATTTGAGCACGCAAATAATACGCGTAAAATTCGGCACTCATAGGACACCAAACCTGGAAGATAATTCTACAAGCGTACATATTACATATTAAGCGTATATATTATATATTATATATTAAATATATCACCATGTTTAAAACAGTGACTGACGTAAAGAATTCAAGAATGGCCTTACTTCATCGTAATATGATATCATATCACTTTAAAAAGTGTTACCTCAGCACACTGTACTTTTGCAATTTGTCCTGCTTTTTCAAGTTCCATCCAATTTGCTTCATATATCTTCGGACCAATCAAGAAATTTAAATCCGTGATTTTATCGTCTTCACGGACCAATGTAGCCGTCAATCCTAACTTACAATGTGCTCGAACAATTGTTAGTACTCGCCGAAACATTTTAGCGGGTATTGTGTGAACCTCTGCAAATTATTATAATCAGTATATATATATATATTTCAGAAAAGATATCTCCCTGGAACGTTGAATAGTGAAAATTCAAGCTTTTATTGAATGATGTGCAGAAACATTCATAATTCATGTATTTACACATTCCAAAGTAAAAAAAAACGATATATACCGTCCAGTAGGACAAGTCCCCATTCACGGCTTTCGATATATTTCATAGCTTCTTCGGCTACATACGTTCGTTTTCCAGTATATGCAACCATGGAATAGGTACTTATGCAAACAATTGGCTTATTAGCATTTGAACCAGATGGTACTGGATCACGTGCCTCACGTGTAAATCGAACCAGTTGGTCATCCCGAATTGTCGACCAAAGCTAAGAGTTTGCAAGGAGAAATTCTTTTCAAAAATCTTCCAAAAAATTTTTTTCATTCAAAAAAGATTTGTTCAGAATATGGAAAGGAATCTTCTTAAAACGTCATAAGAATGACTTTAGTTGGAAATCAAAAATATGGGAGATTCATCTCAATAGATATAAACGGTAATTGAAAAAACTACCTTAAACTGTCCACGCCACTGCTCTACTGAAACGTTTGACGTTGCCAACACCAAGCATTGCTTATTGACTGTTGTTGCTGCAGTAACGCCCACCAACGTTTTACCAGCACCACAGGGTAGGACAATGACACCAGAACGTGCACGACTGTTACCGAACATCTTCCGTAAACTCTTTTCTTGATAAGGCCTGAAAAAAACTTAGCACTATTTGGATTTACAATACATAAACTTTTATGCACCAGTTTCATGAAGCTTTCTTTTTATCAAAATCTAAACTAAAACACAATGACACCTTAGATTAGTGGATGACTTGAGATCGATTCCAAGATTTGCATTGAAAGTATCATTGCGAAAATCATATTCTGCTAGCAATGGATATTCCAATTCGATGCAACGTTTCTGCACAATTTCAATTGATTCCTGCTTGATCTTAAAGAAAAATTTCAGTTGTCACTACTGAATTTCATAAAAATTTCTTCTTTTCCAAAATAAGTATATATCCATCTTACAAAATGGACATCTTACAAAAATAAATAAGTATATATCCATCTTGTAAGATGGATATATACTTATTTTCAACCGAAAAGAATCTTATTTGCTCAACTTACTTCAAAAGTTAACAGCTGCAAGTTTTTGACAGCTTCCTCATCCTCATCTTCATCATCAGCGTCTAATTTACCGTAATATGAATCAATGTCCTCTGGCACATTTGATTTTTTAGCATCTTTTTCTTTTGTTTCTTGCTGTTGTTGTTGGGTTCCCGGAATTTGTATTTTCTCCATGTTTATGTCCTGACGAATAATAAAGTTGAGCCTGACCTTGGCAGAACCAAAAACAAAGTTTACATACCAAAAAAAAATCCGTAAGAGTGATGGATAAACAATATGTTTAAAAAACACTTGTAGATTCTAATTTTTGTAATGACTACTTTTCTTGCTTACATATCTATGCGATTATATTTTAAAAATTTGCAGTGACTTGAAATCAACACACCTTAAACTTGCGCTCATTTTCTATCAAACGATGATCATTCTACATAACAAAAAAATAAAAAAATTGTGAACTCAAAAATCCATTATTGGAGGAAAAATTATGACAGTTAGAGCTATTTAAGAATCAATGTTTTCATGCTCTTAAATATTCTGGAAATCACTAATTAGTCAACTTAGATCTAAATTCAATAAGAAGCGTTATCTTACTTTAGAACTTACTGTTTGTGATACTTCGATCGGCGGTTTGTCTTCTGTAAGACATTGCTGGATTACTTTATCCTTCAGCAAAGTTTGTATAACATCAGAACGACGCGATTCAATGAAATATCGATTGTATTTAAGCACTAATTTCACCTTTCCATAGCTAACAGTACACATCTATAAATACAAGAAAACGACAAAAATTCTCATAACATCTCTTTTATTTCTTACAGCTCCACTCTTTCCCTGTATATACAGCTGCTCAACCTTTGCCTCCAGAACACATACGTTTTCCAACAACTTTCATTTTTTGCTTCCTTATATATACAATATATCCACACAATAAACTTTTTAAGAAGAACCTATCCTGTCTAATGAAATTTCATGTCCTTTGTCGTTTTCAGTTGACTAAATAAAATTAGTAAGAAATGAGTGATTTCTTACTTTGATAAATTCAATAATTCCCTTTGGCAAGGAAGATTTCGATAATCTCTCCAGATACTCAATAATATCACTGGTTTGTAAACCAATTGACACAGCGGCGTATAGTGAATATGCCGTAAGCTGATATTCGTGAATAAATTCCGGTCTACAGACTGGCTAAATGATATTAAAATTTGGTTGGAATAAAGCAGGGTCATAGAGCACTTCTACAGCAATATGCCCACTGTTATATACCATACTAAATATGGTACAAGAATGTGTTGTCCGACAAGAGTGCATCAGCAAATTATTAAAAGAAATCCATCTCACATATCTAAAGTGTAAATATCAAAAATTAAGAATCTAAAGCTAGGATTTTAGATTAAAGAATAGTACATGAACAGTTGTCGATAATACGATTAGCAACCTCAGAAATGGCAATCAAGAAATCATGGGCGTGCTTATATACAGGACTGAATGATTCCAGAAAAATATGTCCATCAGGAGCAACCCAAAGCGGCCGTGATGCATGATCAGGCTTCAATTTCATTTCGTGTCGATAATCTTTCGCTCCAAAATCATCAGTGCGTGTAATCATAGTCTGTCCGTCCAAATTATGACTAGCTGCTTTTGGTACTGAAATAAAGAACAAATGAATTGAATCACAAAATAGGTTCCTGAATGGAAGTAAAAATAAGAAAGAACAATCGAAACGACTACGAAATTGCGCATCTCCTCGAAATGCAATGCAGTAAATATACCAAGTAATATACGGATAACATTGGTGCAAACGCGATATTGGTAACTGTCAAGTCCATATTTAAGACCGGAACGTTAAATTTCTTAAACTGGACAAGTTGAAAAAATTCCTGTTTTTACTGTGAAAAAGAACTTGGTCCATAGTGCGTTTGCATTAAATCTAGGATCATAAGATATCATTTCTAAAGCAAATGCAATATCCAACTCTAATCCATCAGCAGTTACTTCCAAAAAAAAAAATCAACCTGCAGCATCTTTGTCACTCGGATTACTTCTTTCACCCAAATTACTCGATTGAGAATTTTCATCGGCATTGAAGTCAGCATTATACTGCTCCCAGCGACCACGTTTACGTCGTTCACTTTTTCCTGGTGCCATTTTTTTACAAAACTGCAACATGAAATAAATTTAGCAATGCCTGATAAAACCATAGCATATCATTTAAACAACAATGTTCGACAATAAAAATAGCACCGCTGCTGCGGTTTATATATTTATCACGAACAGTTGTAGTATCAAATTGTAGTAACAAATTTCACAGTATATAAATGGCAAATTGTAAAAAGGATCACAAATTAAATTTGCTTAAAATATCGAAGGAATCCAACCTCTACTATAGACATGAAAACATGACGATTTACATTATTTATTTTAAATTAGTCAATCTTTTCAACCATTATTCATATAATTAAGGATAAATAAATATCAAGTGTGTACATTTGCAAAACGTATGAAAAGAAATAATAATAAACAACAGAAAACAGTTCTTAGACTCAAAATACACTCAAAAATATTTGAACAATTTAAAACCCGCAATAAATCATTAGTATTTATTGAATACTAATAAATGAAACAACAGAAATAGTGTCTACTATAACCTCATATATATTGCCATATGTTATCTAATTAATACAGTAGAATCGTGGATATGAGAAATAAGATATCCAAGAAAATGAAATAATAAAAATACAAAGGAATCTAAGTTCCGACTTGAATAATCGCCGAATTTTTTCTCCATCACCCTATTTTATCCTATTTAGTCCAACTATTCTTTAAAGGACCAAAATTGAAGCAAAGTATTGCAATATTGGAAAAAATCTATAGACAAAACGAATAACAGTCACACAAGTACAGTTTTCTTAGCGGAGCCGAAGTTTGGCGCTGATAAAGGATGCACTCGTGCATACAGAAATTTCAGCTGATTTTTTAAATCGCCCAAACGACGATCCTTCGCTGCAATCGGTATTACTGCTTTTACAGATAATGGTCGCGAGGGTCGCATTTCTTCTGGTAGCGCTTCTGACCAATTTTTTTTTCCTAAAATTGAAACCAATTCTTTGGCCCGTTGTTCCCCATTAGGCAAATCAATTTTGTTCAGCGTAATGATCGTTGGCTTCATCGCCAAAGCCGGATCATACTTTTCTAACTCGATATTCAGAAGTGCAACAGTTTCTAATGCATTACGATATGGATTACTCATGGATAAGTCAAGTTTGAAGCCAAGAACATCAATAACCATCAATAATATATCGCTGAACTCGAGATGCTTCAGAAATTCTCGACCTCTCCCACGATTCAGTGCTGCTCCCTCTATCAATCCTGGTAAATCGGCGATTGATAAACTGAACGAATCTTCATCATCGTCAGCGGATTCTAACTCCGACCCAAAGTCATTAATATAACCA